ATGTAACTGAATTTAATTCAATCATTCTGTAATTGTTCAAACCTGCCACCTCAGAATTTTTACTGTGAACCTTTTTCTCAACCTTCGCTGAAATCATTTTGACTAACAGATCCTCCCTGTGCGTTCAGAGTTTGGTTCCCCCCAACCCCATGTCCCAGTTCCGCCTGAAGAGAGGTTCCCCCGAGGAAGAGTTTCCTGACCTGTGCAGGAACTCGACCTGGATGGGACGGATCCTCACACGGGACATGTACTGCCGACAGTTCGACCGCTGCACCCACAGCGGGGTCGTCTTCGATGATGTCATCCGTCCGGGCCTGGAGGAACCAGGTGATGTCACTGTGATGTCATGACAGGACAGAGGATGGAACTTGTGCTCTTGAACATGTCTCTCTCTCTTTAAAAGAATTAGCTTTTGTTCATTATTTGTGTTTTCCAGGTTTCAGGCCGATGAAGCAATCGGATATATTTATGTATAAATATACTTTTCCTTTTGAGTAGTTGTATTTGAATAAATGAGGTAAAACATATATGTTCCTTCAGTGTGGGAGGATTTGTGATTGGTCCATTCCATCTGAACTGTGTATGAAGGTGACTGTTCAGGTGCTGTGTCTGTGGGATGCGTTGCGGGTGACGCTCAGTCCTACATCTTGTTCTGTGACTTCTTCGACCGAGTCATCGAGGCGCATCACGAACACAAGATCAGCAGCCAGACGCCAGAGAGTGACTTCAACTACAATAACCTGAAGGTAGTTCACAGCACCCCCGACCACATGATGACAAGTGTCTCATATGAGGGAAAACTTGAACTGGAGTTTCGTAACAGACGCTCAATCTGAGCTGTGTTTAAGGTGCAGAGATTACGACTGTGCTTTAGCATAACAACGTAAGTTTACGCAGGTTTTTACGTCGTCAGGTTTTGAGCCAGTTACAGGTTTATAATGTGAGAAGACGCTGTGTGTGCAGGGGGGCGATGACCTGGACAGATCGTACGCCGTCCGCTGTGAGGTGAGCGTTGTCCGAGGTGTTGACGACTTCTGTTTCCCGACACACTGCAGCCGAGGAGAGCGCAGACAGCTCCTCACACTGGCCAGAAGAGGTACTGATGGTCTGAGAGCTGGTTTATTTCTCGTCAACCTTGTTTTTTCTCTGAGTTATCTGATCCCTCTTATTCCTCTTTTACAACAAAATGAGCGGCTACACGTAGTTTTTTAAGCCCACTAAAACCCAGAGGGTTTGCTGTTCTGTTCTTTTCTTCCACTGAGCCATGATCAACATCATGAGCACAGTAGAAACTGAGAAGTTCTCTTTGCACGATCTGAAGATAAACAATGGACAAAAGCCAGATGATAAAAAAAGTGGTTTAGCGGTTCGCTGTGAAGGATTCAGTGACATCTAGTGTTGAGGTTGCAGAATACCTACCCCTGAGCATATTCTCCTCTTATTCTCAGCACTGCAACGGCTGGAGGAGGAGGAGCTGCCGGGTCGATTCCTCTCACTGGAGAAGCTGGACCGGGACCAACAGACGGAGCTGAACCTGATTCCACCGTCGTCCTCCCAGCAGCGGATCGGTGTGGCCCGCGACTGGCCCGATGCCAGGGCTGTGTGGTCAGTCTGTGACCGCCTGGTTTGTAGTCTGGATGGAAAAGGCTCAGGTGGTAGAACAGGTCAATCGTTAATTGTAAGGTTGGGCCCAATGTCAGCTGGGATTGGCTCCAGCTCCCAACACAAACCTGAAAGGATAAGCAAAGTAGATAGTGGATGGATGGATGAAACCGCCCCCCACATTAAATTAGCACAATGTGCCCAATGTCACGTTGTGATTCCTTTCTGCAGGATCAGTAACGATGGCAGCCTAGTGGTCTGGGTCAACATGGAAGACCACCTCAGACTGGTGTCCACACAAGACGACGCCAACATGGTGGAGGCATTTAAACGCATCTGCATCAACCTGCAGAAGGTCAGAAATGTGTCCGATTGTCAGGAAGGTGCAGCTTCTCAGGGAGACCAAAGTTTTGAATCAAAATGGAAATTAGCTTTTAATACATTTTGTCTGTAGGTTTAGTCCATCTGTATATATTTTATTGACAACTAATGATTTGTAACCAAGCACAATCTGTGCACTTGCTTATCTGGGTAATTATCTGGTTAGCCAATCATGTGGCAGCAGTGTGGTGCAGAATCAGCTCAGTTTCTCTCATGTGTCTCTGTGTCTCCCTCTGGCAGCTCAGCTGCCGCCTTCTGAATCCAGGGAGAGTTGATTGGCCAACTAGTCTCAACTGGGCCAATCGCCTCTCCCTGGTTCACCTGGAGGTTCTCTGAGCCTCCTCCACATACACGTCAATTAATGTTCACATCAGACAATGAGGAAACATGTGATTGTTGGAGCCAATGAGGTGAGCATGTCCTTCAGTTTCCTCCACAGTTACTAGATTTGGACGTGTAGAAAACCTTCAGGTTGTGGCAGAAATGATGAGATGCAATCATGTCAACATGGAGCAGTTTACCACATAATTAATATGGCATTCCTAAGAAAGTGCTTGCTGAGTGTATTTCACCTCTTCACATGGGTTGTAAGGTTCCTTCAATTGGAAAAGGATTAACTGAGCTCTTGTATTGTATTGTGGCATTATATCTTCATGAGTTTGGGATTGTTTGTCTCCCTTTCCTGTGTTTCCAGCTCGATGCGTACTACAGAGAGTTCAAACACCCGTTCATCTGGAAGCAGCAGCTGGGATGGGTGACCAGCTCTCCAGCTGACGTGGGGACGGGCCTAAGGGTCAGCGTTCACCTGAAACTGCAACAGCTTCCCAGACACAAACGCCTCCAGGACATCCTGAAGAGACTGAGGATGCGTTTGGACAAAACAGGTACAGAGGGCGGACGTCCCATCGATGAGATTCATTTCCAGGCCTATGAGTTCTCTATGTTCAGGTCTTGGTCACACGTCAAAGCGATTCTGGGGAACAAAGTTACCAGAAAACACACATCTGTATTTACTCTTTCTGCTCCTCAGACGTTATGTATGAAGTCACAGCGGCCTGCAGCGTGGTCAGGAGTCTAAACCAGGACATGCTCGATGTGAACAGAGGCTGTTGCTGAACTCAAAAAGTTGCATTGGCAAATGAGAAAACACGGTATTGACCTGTTGAAAGGTGTTTCCACGTGTCAAACAGAAACAGTGAAACCTTTTCTTACCTTTCAACTCTCAGTGGTCTCTCACCGACGTTCACACGGGTCAGTCCGTGGTGCTTCAGCTCTTAGCATTCGGAGCGCTACCGTGAAAATGATTGTGGCTGTAATGTCCTGTGAGATAGCAGGGTTAGCTTGTCCAGTGGCTAACAGCTGTTACGTTCCAAAACAATATTGGCGGTGTACGTTAACTAAGGCCATTGAGATGTAATAGGTGAGTACAGCGTTTACAGTTTACGACTGTTTCCCGTTGTCCTGTGCACGAACATGAATACTCTTGTTGCTGATTGGCAGTAACAGTGTTGTGTTGTTTGTGCAGTTCACTTCTTCTCTGTTAACAATCGATTGAATTGTGTCAAACTGGCATCTGTATTGTTTGTGTATGTGAGGTCAGCAGCTCAGAGTATTTATCATCTGTACACACTGGCACTACTTTCTGAGCGGAAGCCTGAAATGTGCTTGTTTCTCTTTTCATGCAGTTGCTCCTCACTTTATTCCAACCCCTTTTTTCCTCCCAGAATCCTCTGCGCTGTATCTTGTGAGCAACACGGCGACCTTTGGCCTGAGCGAGGTGGAACTGACCCAGCTGGTGGTAGACGGGGTCAAACTGCTCATCGCCATGGAGAAGAGGCTGGAGGTCGACAGAGACATCGACGAGCTTGTTCCAACTCAGAAGTAAACCCAGAAGATGATTGGCTGGATTGACGAGAATAAATAATCACATTGATAAGATGAGTAATAATAATTAAACACTGAAACCTGCTCTAGTGGGAGATGATATTTATTGACATTGAGTTAAATGATCATGTCATTAAATGATCAAATATCAAATCTCTGCTGCTAAAATCATTTTAAACAAACTAACAAAAGTGCTGAATCT